TTTATGCAAATCAACTCTGTAATTAACTGTAATTTGGAGGCATCCTTTGGTATTTGAGACATTTATCCATGAGGAAATGCCCTGGTGATAATGCTGCCGTATTAACATTATTTACTCCACCTGTGTGGTCTCCGGAGCTCCCCCCTGCGGGTTTGGGGCTGGAAGGTGGGGCGGGACCGGGAAGCCCCTCCCTGGAGCCGGCCCGGGTCCTGACGCCCGGCTTCCCTGAGAGCCGGCTGGCTCTGTCCTCCTGATCTGGCCCAGGACCGAGGGATGGGGTACAGCAGTTTCCTGAGCCCCCTGCCACCCCGCTCGCTGAGCTGTAGTCTTTGGGGCCTCGATGGTCCGCTCTCTGAAATGGGGGGAAGACGAGCCTGTCGGGCGCGCGGGGGGGGGGGATAATTACTGAAAAGCAAATGAAGAGGCCGGGAATCCCCAGTGTAGGGCTTGCTGGAGGGCGGGGAGCAGGAGTTGGGGTGAAGGATCCGGAGCAGGCCTGAGGCGAGGGAAGGGAGGAGTCGCGTGAAGTCCCCAGGCCGCTGGGCGGGACTCACGCTCACCCCCGCTCTCTGAGCCTCTTGTGCCCTTCTGCTTCGGGCCCTGCCTGTCGCGCACCCGGGCGCCCCGCTGTCTCCCGTGCCCCAGGGGGGACCCCGACCCCGAGCGGCCGGTGTGGGTCTCCCGGGGGAGCCGAGTCAGGAAGGGGATGGGCGGGGAGGACGCCGAGTCTCCGGGGTAGCCGCGGTCCGCGCGGAGCTCCGCGAGCCGCGGGTTTCGGGGTTCAGGCGGGGCTCCCCCTCCCCGCCGAGCCCAGCCCCACCGTCTCCTCCGCGGGACCCCGCCCCGCCCGCACCCGCCGGCGCCCCCTCTCCTGGCAGCCCGGGAGGCTCCGGGCGCCCCCGCCACTCCCCCGGGGAGCCGGGCCACTGTTTCCTGGATTATCCTAAAAGCTTCCGAGGCCGCGAGGACTTGGCAACGTCCCCTGCCTGCGCCTCCCACCCGCCCCCCCCCGGCTGCGGCTGCCCCCCTTATAAAGCCCGGCTCTCTAATCGCCCCACTCGACCCTCACGCCGCGGCCAGCGCCGGGCTCCATGGACTGGTAAGAGGGGCCGCTCCCTGCCCCGCAAGGGTCCCCCCACCCGGCGCGGGGGCCCAGGTCTCCACTCCCAGGGGGCCGCAGCGAAGGGCGGGGGGGGGGCGCCGGCCCCTTCCCTTAAATGGGGGCGGAGGGGTTGTCGGGGTCTTCGGGGAGAAGCAGAGGGGACAGAGGGAACGGAGTGGGATCTCTGGACCGGGCTGGACGAGGCCTGGGGGAGAGGGACGGGCCGCGGGCCTCATTCCGAGACGCAGGACAGTGTGCAAACCACAGGAGAGGGCGCCGCGCACACAGGCACGAGGTGCACTCGCCTGTCGATGCGCACACTCACACCAGCACACACGCGCTCGCACGCAAGCGCTATCCTCAGCCTACGCCGAAGAGGGATGGCGCACGCTAGTGACCCTTGCATTGATAAAACAATGAGTGTCCACCAAAGTGCTTGGCCCCAGGTAAAACCTCAAGAAGTGTTCGTTGAATGAATAAAGGATAAATAACAGAAAACGATTAGACCCCAGTTCTGGGTACCACACCAAGTTTTCCAGGAACCTGGGAGGGTTCCCGGGGGGAAGAGAGGCCCACAGAGGGCCCTGTGGATGTCCAGGGTCACCATCTCGCAGTCTCCGAAGTGGAGTCAGGAGGTGGCCTGGGGTGGGTGGGTGGGTGGAGAAGAGACACCTGAGGGAGCCTCGAGTCAGAGAGTCAGAGGCTGGGGTCTGGCCCCTGCTGCTGACTCTGAGCTGCCCCGTTCTGGGGTTCAGTTTCCCCACTGAGTGAGGGCTTGGACAGAGCGGCCACAACACTTGTAGCAGCGCCATTTCCACAGGACAGTGCACTGGGTGTATCTGTCCTGTTAGACCCCGTGGTGGGTGGTTTGGATCTGGGCCTCAGTTTAAGGATCCTGTCCTCTGGAGCCAGGCCCCCTGGGCCATGACTTCTACCACGTGGGACAGCAGGAAGAATGTGGGCTCTGGAGTCTGAGATCTGGACTCAGTTTCCTCCTCTGTCTCTTAACAGCTTTGTAATCTCGAGCAGTCATTTAGTTCCTTTGATCCCTGGCTTCCTCATCTGTACAATGGGAAGAATAATAATAATTACCTTGTTGCATGCTCCTGAGAACAGGAAAGGTTTATGGAAAGTGCCTGGAGTGCACATAGTAGGTGCTCAATAAATAAATGCTGCCTATGATAAACAAGCAGAGAAAGAGGCTGCCCCTGGCATGAACTGGATCAGTGAGGCTTGAGGAGAGGAGGGCTGGCAGGGCTGGGAGGTGGGCACTGGCCGGGGAATCTATGTCTTTGCAGGAAGAGGGAGAGGGGCAGAAATGGCCCAAGTCTTGGGCAGGGCTCAGTTTGTGTGACGAACAGCATTGTTCCATTTTGAGTCACAGCAAGAATCCGGGCTGTGGTGACTTTAGCAGTCTCATCCTTGTCCGAATCAGACCACAGCCATCACTTTGTAGGGAAACGTCTAGCAAGTGGGGAACAGAAAGGGGCTGGAAGCAGAGAGCTGAAGCTGAGGAGAGAGTGGGAGAGAGGCAGGGATAGGCGGGGCAGGACTTCGAATGGCTCAGGGGCAACTTCCTGGTCACGGTGGGTCAGAGCGGAGTGAGTCCCAGGGGCGCTAGGGTAAAAGTGGGGTGGGGTGTCTCCCCTCATCTTCCCTGTTGCTTTCCAGGAAAAGAGGGACAGCACTGGCAGATGAAGGCAACCTGGTGCCTATTTATGGGAGATGGAACTCAGGCCCCCACTTGGGAATCAGACCCCCAGCGCCCACTTTAGCTTCCAAGAGTCGCAGATGCAGATGCTACAGCAGCATGCAGTGGGCAAGGGGAGACAGGAGAGTGGAAGTCTGCTCAGTCTTAACCCAAGACCCAGAGTCTCCCAGTTAGGTTGGGGGGCTCCGCTCTAGACCCGGTGAGCACCCAACCTTGTCCCGGAGGTGGCTGGGAACTGGGAGGAGAGGGTTTGCAAGCAGAGAGGAGGGAAATACAGCTGAGGGAGGTTCACCTAGCCAAGGTACAAAGATCCAGAGCAGTCCTTGTGACTCCACCTCGGCGGCACCCCAAGTTCGGGGAAGAAAGAAACCCGGTGTTGGGGATCCCCAATGCCCACCCTTCAGCCCACAGGATGGCTGAGGAAAGGGGGGCTTCAGAGCACCCTGGTCTGCCAGGGGCAGTGGGAAATGTGTAGGACAGGGGTAGAACTTAGGTCTGTGGATTCTAATCCCAAGACCTCTGTGAACACCAAACAACCCTGGGAACTGATGCATTTAATAATCACAGCAAGGATGTCTGTCTCTAACGCCCTGGGTTAATTAACCAGGACCCCCGGGGCTTATAACCCCTGTAAGCCCCAGGAAACCCTCCCAACTTGTACCCTGGTTGTCAAGATGAAGCAATCGAGCTTTCGAAAAGAGGGAAGATGCAGAAATTGATCAGACACTGACCACACACGCAGAGATTGGCTTTCAAATGGGTTGTGGATTTTAAGTTAAATGAAACTATTTTTGACTCTTTAGTGTGTCCGAAACAGGAATCCAGGACAGGTAAAGCAGTGTGGGTGAAAGGGGGCCGCAGGAGCGAGATTATTATTATTTTTTATTTTTCGAGACAGGATTTCACTACGTAGTTCAGGCTGGCCTCGAACTTGCAGCGATCCTCCTGCCTCAGCCTCCTGAGTGCTGGGATTACAGCCACGTGGCACCCCACCTGGCTAGGGGCGAGATTAAATCAGCCTAAATTTCAGCACGATTCTAGGAAATTAACTGTAAAGTAAAAAGAAAAAAAAAAACCCACTGAAAATATAAAAAACCAGTGGTCAAGGGCATAGTGGAAACTAACTCCAGCAAGGAAACAAATACAGAAACTGATCAGAGGGGTCACCTCCGGAGGCCAATGCCTCGGGTTTGAGTGACAAGATCCAGGAAAGGCCACCCCCAGGCCACCTCCAGGCACTAACAGGCTAACAGGCAGGGAGTGGGGGGTCTCCCCTACACCAGCGTTTGGGGGTGGGGGACCTCAGCTGCTGGGGATCTTTACAGGAGTTTTTAGGCGAGCGCCAGGAACGCGTTGAAATTTCACCTGAACGTTGCGCTGGGCCCGTGCCTTTGTTTCTCCCGAAGGAATCCAAGACCCCTCCCCAAACTGAGACATTCGCACAGGACCGGGAAGAACTGGCCGCAAGGGCTCGCCCAACTCTTTCCAGAAATGTCCCTGCCTAGGGCCGCCTAGACCCCTGGTCAGCCCGCAGAGCCGGACGTCCGGCGAGGACAAGCGCCTCGGGGACCGAGAGGAGGGGGAGGCACTTTGGCGGGGTGGCCTTGGGGACGCTGGGGTTCCGCCCTAAGGGGAGGTGGAGGGCGAGGCCCGAGGGGTCTGGGAGACCGCAGTGGGGGCCGGCGGAGACCAGAGAAAGGTGAGGGGACAGAGAGGGAACCCTGGAAAGCCCGAAGAGGAAGGGGGCGGAAGCATAAGGGGGAGCAGCCCCAATTCCCCACGGCCTCGGCTGCGAGTGGACCGGACATATATATTCTCGATGCTCAATCCTGTTTCCCTCTCAACTCCCCGGGTCGGGCGAAGCAATCGACTCCCTAAAAAGGGTGGCTCAGTAGCACCCCCTGGCCCCCTCCCCCGTCCCCCCAAGGTGTGCGCCGCGTCCCCGAGCAGAGCGAGCTCGCAGGACGGCAGTTTCCCAGCGGATCGGGGCCCTCGCCCAGGGAGTGGGGGGGTCAGGGGCTGGGAGGAGCCCGATCGCCCGCCCTCCCCCCTGGCCGGCCGGGCTGGGCCCCGTCCCGCCGAGCCTGCAAGGGTTAAGGGAGACTGCAGGTGAGGTGGGCGGGGCCGCGGGCCGGGGGGAAAAAGGAGTGCCGGGAGAGGAGGCGGCAGAGCGCGCGGTGAGTCACGGGGAGCTGCTCTCGCTCGCTCGCTCGCCTGATCGCCAGCTCCCGCCCGCTCTCGCCTGCTGCTGGCTCCCCGCGGCCCCCGGGTCTGCTCGCCGGGCCCTCGCCCTCGGCTCTGGCCCTCGCCGTTCAGCGCCGCCCGGCGCGCGGGGCCGATGAGCGCGGGTCTGTAGCGCGCGCGCCCGCGGAGCCCGAGCGCAGCCCCCAGGTAGGAGCCGGGTCGGGGTGGTCGGGGGCGCGCGCCGCGGACTCCTGCGAACGCGGGAGGGGGTGGCCCCAAAAGATCGGGGCACACAGAGCCGCGACCCAGGGAAAACCGGGCGGACGGGAGAGACTGGAGGGGTCGAAGAGGCTAAAACTGGGGAAACTGGAGCGACTGGGACGACCGGAGAATTGGAACATCGGGAACCAAGAGCAGGGAGGTCCCGACCGCCCGGGCCTCGGGCATGGAGGGCGGCAGCCGGCTGAGTGGCACGGGTGTCTGTCCGCCTTCCTGGATCGGGGAGCGCAGAGCGCGAGGCGCGCCCTGCTCTCCCCCGTCCTGAAACTGGGGAGCAGCCATTGCACCCTAGACCTGGGCCACCGGGCTCCCTGTCGGAAGAGGCCCCTCTGGAGCCTGGGTCGTCCCGGCTTCCCCATCCCCCAGCCCCCGGGGCAGTTCCCAGGCGCCAAAACCTATTAGGGTCCCAGGCCTCTCCTCTCCGCTCCCGCCCCGCCCGGGCCTAAGGCTCCGCTCCCGCTGCTTCTCCCTGTTCCTTTCTTGTGGCGAGGCCGCCAGAGCCTGAGTAGGCGCCCCAGCCCTCCTCTCCCGGCCTCTCCCAGACGATCCGCCGCCTCCCGGTCCCGGCGCACAAGGTGGTTGGATTAGCAGAGCCCTGCTGTGGGCAGGGCGGAACGGTGCCCTAAATCACTCTCTCCTCCCCCCAACCTCAGAGAAAACCCGCAGACCGGGGAAAGGGCTTCCAGGGGCTGGGGAGAGATGATGAGAAAAGGGGTCCTAAGTCACAGGTCTGTGGTTGAGGAAGGGGCAGGGGTCTTTGGGACCCTGACAGTGTAGGCGAGGAGAAGAAGCAGGAGTCAGAAGGCCTGGCTCTCTCAGGCACCTCGCAGTACCTCGCCGCTGACTGAACAATAAATGGACAGCGTTCGCTGTTCCAGTTACGGCTCCAAATTCCACCTGTTTCGTTCTCTTGGAAATCGGTGGGTTGGAAAAAATAAAAGGGGGTTGGCCCGGAGCAATGGTTCTCCACGCTTGACTGCGTGTTAGAATCCTCTGGGAGCTCCTAAAAGATATCCATCCAGGACTGGGGTGCGCCCCCATGTAATCTCTCTGGGCAATTCCTGCGGTGAAGTTCTGAAACTGTGGCTTCTCTTGCTGCCTTTCTCTTCCCCAGCTGCGACCCTGGACCCTGCATCCCTCCAGGGGCTGGCAGGGCAGTTGTTTCGTTCTGAGTTCACCGGCAAGCAGAAAGTGTTTCTCCGAGTCTCCCCTACCTTGGAGAAGGGCGCGGGTAGCAGCGGCCAGAGAGTGCCTGGCATGGTGTGGATCCGGACAGGGAAGGGGAAATTGGTTTTCTCCAGCCCGGGGTTGGAGGCTACTTCCCCAGAAAGCAGCACTGCAACTGCACCCCAGGGAGGTGAAGTCCCTGCCCAAGGGAAAGGAGCGGGGGTCAGGCGTGGGAGTGGGGTGGGGGAGCGTGTGAGAGATGAAACGCTCTTCCTCCCCCACCTGCCCGCCGTGCTGAGTGAGGGCCCTCTCCCCACACTCGCTCTGCTTTGGGCTCTCTGAAGGGCAAGTCACCTTCAGCTTCGGGTTTGAGAGCAGACGGCCCCTTTTCGTTCGTTCGTTCGTGCCCTCTATCCAGTTGTGTCCCCAGGTGAGCTGGGCATGCTCAAGGGGTCTGGAACCTTCCCTGGAACGGGCAAGCGGGTCTCGCAGGGGAAACGGCCTGGTAGCTAGGGTGGGGGTGTTTCTAGCACTGTGACCCACGACCCTGGGGTTAGCTGGGTCTGATGGGCCGGATCGCCGGGAGGACGGGCCGCCATCCTATGCCCGGTGGAAGCTCAGCTTGGCACCCTTCCTAGCAACACCCCCCCTCTGGTCCCCGCCCAGAGCCCAACCCACTTTTAGCACCTGGGGGCCAGAGGGGAGCCTTTGCGAGCGGGAGGATCCGAGCTAGGACTGAAGCGCGTCAGTTTCTCTCCTCACGTCGCCTCCTCTTTGCCTCCTTCAGGTCCCTCCTGAGGTGCCCCTGACCATCCCTGCCCACCCCACCCCGGATCCCGGCAATGCTAACCGCTGTCTGCGGCTCTCTGGGCAGCCAGCACCCGGACGCGCCTCACGCCTCCCCGCCGCGCCTCGACCTGCAGCCGCTCCAGACATACCAAGGCCACACGAGCCCGGAGGCCGGGGACTACCCCTCCCCGCTGCAGCCTGCCGAGCTGCAGAGCCTCCCGCTGGGCCCGGAGGTGGACTTCTCCCAGGGCTATGAACTGCCGGGGGCCTCCTCGCGGGTGACCTGCGAGGACCTGGAAAGCGACAGTCCCCTAACCCCAGGACCCTTTTCCAAGCTCCTGCAGCCGGACATGTCGCACCATTACGAATCGTGGTTCCGGCCGACCCACCCCGGCACGGAGGACGGCTCGTGGTGGGACCTTCATCCGGGCACCAGCTGGATGGACCTCCCCCACACTCAGGGCGCTCTCGCCTCCCCCGGCCACCCGGGGGCGCTCCAGGCTGGCTTGGGGGGCTACGTCGGCGACCACCAGCTCTGCGCCCCGCCGCCCCACCCGCACCCGCACCCGCACCACCTCCTCCCGGCCGCCGGGGGGCAGCACCTCCTGGGGCCGCCCGACGGAGCCAAGGCTTTGGAAGCGGCCGCGCCCGAATCCCAAGGGCTGGATTCCAGTCTGGACGCGGCGGCCCGACCCAAAGGCTCCCGGCGATCGGTGCCCCGCAGCTCGGGCCAGACCGTGTGTCGCTGCCCCAACTGCATGGAGGCCGAGCGGCTGGGGGCCCCGTGCGGGCCCGACGGGAGCAAGAAGAAGCACTTGCACAATTGCCACATCCCAGGCTGCGGGAAAGCCTACGCCAAGACGTCGCACCTGAAGGCGCACCTGCGCTGGCACAGCGGCGACCGTCCCTTCGTGTGCAACTGGCTCTTCTGCGGCAAGCGCTTCACGCGCTCCGACGAGCTGCAGCGCCACCTCCAGACCCACACGGGCACCAAGAAGTTCCCCTGCGCCGTGTGCAGCCGCGTCTTCATGCGCAGCGACCACCTGGCCAAGCACATGAAGACCCACGAGGGCGCCAAGGAGGAGGCGGCGGCTGGGGCGGCCCCGGGCGAGGCCAAGGCCGGGGGCGCGGTGGAGCCTCCCGCGGGCAAAAGCAAGCGGGAGGCTGAGGGCAGCGCGGCGCCCTCCAACTGAGCCGCTCCTGGCGGCCGCCTCCCCGCCGGCTCCGTGGGGGGGTCCGAGGAGAGCCCCGGCCGGGCGTCTTGGGGGGCTGCTTGAGTACGGGGAGGTGGTTATTTATTGAGCGGGGCCGGTGGCGGGCGCCAGGTTTAGGGTTTGGGAACGCGGGGGCAGGGCTGCCAAGCCCTTCCGTCCTTCCTGGGGGCCGAGAGGGGGCACCCCCGCCCGCGCCTACGGGTGGCGGAGCCGGCTGGAGAGAGGATGGCGCGTCCCCGAGCTGAGGAGGGCCGGCGGGGCGTTGGGGGAGCTGTCTGGACACGTCCCCAGAGCCTGGGAACCCCGACATAAAAGCGCCTCCTCCGGAGCCGCCCTGCGGCCTGGCCCTTTTCATCCCCCTCCCCGTACTCCCGCCCCTAGGGTTTCCGGAGGGAGAGCTGGGCGGCTGGGGGTCCCCTTTCCTGGGTCCCCTTAGCAGGGATGGCTCTCTAACTTGGAGGGCTGTTGATGTAGAGTAGATCTTTTGATGTTGCCTTCCTGTTAACCCTTCCAGATAAGTCTGATGGAGCCACGTAGGAAGAGGGGACAGTTTTCAGGCCAGAGTGGCGGGTGCAGGGCAGAGTTAGATGGGAAGGGGGAGGGGGAAGCGGGAAGTCCCCTTCCGAAAAAAATTTTTTAAAATAGAGAAAGGGATTTGGGGGGGGGGGAGTGGAAGGAACTATAACCCCTTCCCTCATCAACTAGTTCAGTCCTTTACTCTTGGTCTTTCCAAAAATGAAAGTCACATTCCCCATCTCTGGCCCTAGGTCGGTGGTTAAGGCTCTAGAACTGATGTAGTTCCTTATTCGAGGTCCCCACTCTGTACCTTCCCCTTGGGACGGAAGGGAGGTTACTGGGGCTAGGAGGAGCTGAGCCTGGGTCCCAGCAGGGGGTTCCCAGCCGCTGGCGGAGGACCCAGCCCCTGCCAGGCCTCTCCTGCTCCGCGAAGCGAAGCCGAAGCCCGGGCTCTAGCCTGACACTTCCGGTCCCTTGCCCCTGCTGAAGACCCGCCTCCGGCCTTCTGTATGAAGAAGTCCTCCCCCCGGGAAGGGATTCAGGAAGCTGTCTCCATCCCTCCGTTTCCCTTTAGATTCTAGGAATATATATGGATTATGATCGCGGGGGCGGGGCAGGGAGAAGCCAGGAGGAGGCCGAGCCAGGCAGAGGGGAAGAGGATGCCTGGGAGGGTCTGGCAGGCCAGGGGACCCTGGAGCTGGGGACATTCCCAGGCCTGACAGAGGCCTCTAGTCCCTCTGACCTTCGCTTCCTCCCGCTCCCCTCCACCCAGAGCCCTCTGCAGGGATTAGCTGTGCATTGATTTTTAAGTTATAAGCAAAGGGTATTTTATTTAATATTAGGGCATGTGAGTGAGTGTGTGTGTGAGTGAGTGAGCGTGTGTGTTTCTCTACTGAGCCTGGGGTCGCTGAGACCCCATCTTGTCCACCCTGTCCAAGGACTGGGAGCTCGATGGGAAGCAGGGGCTGGAATCTGGGTTGGAAAATGTGTTTGTGCAGGGAGGGCTCCTCCTTCAAAGGGACAGGGTGGAGTTCCCCCGTGGGACTCAGGGGCCTGGGGCAGGGTAAGAAGTAAGCTTCTTTCTTTATACTCCCCCTTTTCCCCACCTCCTGCTAATCCAGCCTAGGTCCCCTTCCTCGAGGGGAGGGGCGGGCCATTGTGCACTGTGCTCGGCAGGCTGGATGGCCTGGCCAGAGGGGAGAAAGGAGGGCACCGTGGGTGTGGGATGCTTTTCTCCTCCACCCATCGAAACCAGCCACCCCTCCCTGTGCCACCACCATGGCCTTTTCCAGTGACCATTCCAAGGGGGAACTCCCAAGTGGGTGTTGGCAATGGGGGGCACCGATGTTCCCCCTTCTAGAGACCCTGTCCCCTAAAGTATGCAGGCAGGGGCTTTGGATAGGTTTTCTTCTGCTCCCCTTTCATAGATCTAGGTTTCTTGGCTGCCTGCCCTTTTAGGCAGCCCCCCTAGAGGAAAATGTAGGATTTTTTTTCTTTGCTGTGAACCCACCTTGGGGGGGAGGAGGAGGAGGAGGAAGAAACAGCCTGTGTTTTTTATGCAACAATAAAGTCATCAACAGCATCTCGGCCTCCTTTGTCTTCCAGCTTGGTCCGTTTGGGACTAGGACTGGGTCAGGGCTGCAGGGGAAGGGTGGCACTGGCTTGGATCTTGCAGCCCCAGGGTGGTCTCAGTGCCATCCACGTAGCCAGGTGAGAGCTGGGATGTGACCTGACCGAGGAAGGGAGGCTGATGGCCTGGCTGTCCCTCCCTGGGCATCCCCTGCAGGGATGAGACTCCAGAGTTCCTTTCCCTTCTCTGCTCCCCAGCACCGTGGTTCCCTCCCTGGGCACAGTGGCTGTCCCTGGCCTGTGGGGACAGGTGAGTCCACTGGTCCCTCTGGTCCCTCTGGCTGTGAACAAGGCGGGGGTGACTAACAGTGATTTCTTCACCCAGGACGATCCCTATCAGGGACAAGGCGATGAAAGACTGCCACAGTATCTGATGGGCTCCTGCCCAGCTAGGAAGTAGGAGGGCAAGGTTGTTACTGGGCCCGGCAGCTAGGGACCCGCTTCAGTTACGCGGAGTGCAAACACCCACTGAGCCACCGTGCGTGACGCGAGGGCTTCCCCGCCTGCCCGGGCCTCAGTGCTCGTGCAGTTGGTGCCCGATTCACATAAACTGAAAAAAAGCCTGGGCACTGGAGCCCCACGCTGGGAGGGTGGATGGAGGGTCTGGTTTGGGCTCCAAAGGAAGTGGATGTAGGGCGTGTCATATTCTTTCACCGTCCCTATTTTTTTTGGTACTGGGGATCGAACTCGGGTCTTTGTGCTTGCGCAGCAGGTGGCGAAACCGATGAGCTAAATCCCCGGCCCTCTTCCTATATTTTTTTAGCCAGATTTCTTCTCTTCCACTCGTGGGAGTCCTGTTTCCCCCACTCTTTCCCGAACCCAACTTCTTTCCAGCCAAATCTGGCAGAGGGGTTCGCGTCCCGGCAGGAGAATGAGGCTGTTTCTCTGGGACCTCCAGCCTGCGGCTCTCCTGCCGGGCACCTCTTTTGTCTTCCTGGCCCCGGGGGAGTTAGACCCCAGGAACCTGGCGGATCCCACCCTTCTTCCCCATCGCCGCCCCCGGGGGCACCAGGGCAGCTTCGGGCCGGCTGGGCCAGTCTGGGCAGGGCCGGGCCGCCCCTCCTCCCCTCGCGGCTCCTCCCGCTGACCCGCATTCTTTCGGGGGCCTTGATGGGGCTCTGGGATTGTGCGCTCTCCTGCAATGCTGCCTGGCTGCCCGGGGCCCCGCGGACCCCTTAGATGTGGCGCCCCAGCAGGCTGACCCTGAAGAGGGAGTTAGGGAAATCGGCACCTCTCCCTGACCCTCGGGGTGACCTCTCTGAGCTCGCTCCCCGCCCGGGAGGTGTATGGAATCCCTCCAGGGTGGGTGGAAGGAGTTAGGAATGGAAACGTGAGAGAAGGCAGTTTGCGAGTGCAGCCCGGGGCTGTGCCGGGGCCTCTGCCTGCCCACCGGCTCCTCCGAGCCTGCTTCCGCCCCACAGCGGGCAGCCCGGGAAGTGCAAAAGGGAACCGGCGCTCCTGCAGGGGCCTCGGCCGCCAGGCCTTGGGGGCGCCTAACCTTGAGGGCTGCTGCAGAAACGACATCCAATGGCAACCTCATGGCAGCCTCCCAACGCCTCCTCGAGGATGGGCCAGCTGCAACTGTCACTTTCCCAGTAGTCCCCGCGCTCAGTATCCTGGCAGTGTAGGCTCGGAAAGAATGTCAGGAGCCGGCCTGGGGTGGTGGTGCAGGCCTGTCATCCCAGCACTCAGGAGGCTGAGGTAGGAGGATCGCTGCGAGTTCGAGGCCACCCTGAACTACATAGCGAGACCCTCTCAAAGAATAAAACAAAACAAATCTCAGGAACCAAATGCCACCCCAAAACTGTTAGAACTAATCAGTGAATGAAGTTACAGGACATAAAGTCAACACACAAAAATCAGCCTTTCTTTTTCTCTTTCTTTGACAGAATCTCACTCTTGCTCGTTGTGGCCTCCATACCTGGGCTCAGCCCTCCCAGCCTCTGTCGAAGTACCTGGGGAGCCCTACACAGGGCTCAGCAGCAGAATCTCTGTTATTACTAACAAAATACATGGCCAAGAGATCAAGGAGACAGTCTTTCTCACAAGCCACTCCACCAAAACAAAACACAAAAACACATAGATATAAACAGTGTTGGCAGATATAAATTTAGACATTGATGAAAAAAATAGAAGAAGACATGCACAAAGTGGAACAATATCCACATTCACAGACTGGAAGAACTCATATTGCTAAAATGCCCATGCAGCCCAAAGCAAGGTCCAGATTGAATGCAACCTAGAAGTGGGCTCTCTGTAGCATCTCCTGTCCCCTGCTCCTGGAAAGCTCCAGGGAGGGGAAGTGTAGGGGATGCATTTGATGAAATCCTGGCTGTGCAGTTATGGAGGAAAATGAACCGGAAAGCAGAGTATTTGAAATCAGAATCCACCAAACGGGCTTTGCCCTTTGAGTGTCACTGTATGCAAAGGCACGAAATCTTTGAATTTAAACTTTCTAAGTTTCCAAGCTATCTTCCTAGAAGCTTGAGCACAGTGGGGCGGAACAGGACTTTGGGATCGGGTGGGTTTTGTGCATCTGTGTCCTTGTGCCTTTTTATTTTTATTTTTATTTATTTATTTTTAAATTAAATTCTTTTATTGGTACATTGTAGGTATACAGCACAATTACATTTCTCATTGGGAATTGTACCTTTATATAA